TTTCTCCCTGTTCTATTTTCGAGTTTCATCCCAAGAAGTACATATTTTATTTTTAAATTGCAATAATATTTTATAAATTTCATATTATAATTGTTGTCCGACAATAATTCCGATGCATCTTTTTGCGTATTATATTAGCCAAAGCAATCCAAAATAAAAGCATGTATTCCGAGGTTTAAATTTATTGCGAATTATTATTTTTGATCAACCATGCATGGTCCAGACGCAATTAAGAAAACAATGGCTAATTGGACAGTATTCAGTGTTTTTCTATGAAAACAACTGAGGAACTTATAATTAGCTTCGATGATTCACAGGCATGCCTATACCACACGCAGGTAAATAACAGTCGTGCACATATTAAAAATAAACATCTTCAAGAACTCGATATTGTCTCGATGTTGATTACAGAAGAAGCAATTTTTCACGAGAGAAAACAGGCCAGTGTAAACAACGTGTGCCTACTTCGATTAAAATAAGACACGAAAACCTTGATTCAGTCCATTAATTTAATACAGGCCAATAACTGTGATTACCGTGAGGCAGCGCTCACTGCCTGCAAGTAACGGTTGGCACGTGACCATTGATTGAGGGCTATCAGCCAATCAAGACCTTACAGGTAGCACTCGCACGCCAATTCCTGCTCCGTTTGTTACTTCAGGTATACGGCTGGTGAAATAGCCACAAATTCGCCAGTGTCGTCAGATTACTCAGTCATCTCAATTTCCCTGCTCAGTGTCTCGTTTGAAGCATTCACCTTTTTAATTTCCTTGAATCTTAATACACGCTCGACAATGAATCATATTTGTGTAGTGTTATTCGCTTTGGGTTCCGTCTGTGACCTTTCTTCGGCTTCAATTTGCCCTCCGAACTGGCAACAGTACGATGAATCCTGCTATCTCCTGATAACCCAACCCATGGACTGGCAGCAAGCAAATCGCACCTGTGTCCAATCCCGAGCGAAACTTGCTGTTCCTAATTCGCAAGACGAACAAGAATTCCTGTTAAAGTTTTTCCTGAGTGGGTTTGATCAGAATCCCACGGAGGATCTGTGGATCGGCTGTAATGACATCGAGGAGGAGGGAAAATGGAAGCACTGTCCGTTGAGAGGCGAGGCCAACGCCTACCAAAACTGGTTCGGTAGTGCAGAGCCGAATAACAACCCTACCGACGGGAATGCAGACTGTGCAATTATGAAATTAGGATGGGAGGGACAATGGGACGATATGCCCTGCTCACAGCTCAAATACGCAGCCTGTGAACGACCAATCCAGAAAGAAACCACCCTGTTCTGCCTTGAGACCAACCCCGCTGGCCGTATCGCCTCAGCGTGCCTCGTCGATCACATCGTGAAGGAGCTACCGGTGACTGGCGTGCTGGCGTGCGGTAAGGCCTGCCGATCGGATCCCCGATGCGGCTCCTTCAACCTGCTTGAGATAGGCCCAGGGAATATGCAGTGTCAACTGAACAACGCGACTCGACAGGAAGCTGGTGAGCTGTATATGAAGGAGATTCAAAACTGCTACTTTTTCAATCTTTAAGAACCTGTCTCAACCATAACGGCGGTAGGCCTACATAATTATGGACGCTCGATCCGTCTACCTACCGTAAATAAGCGGGGCTTGTAGTCAAAATTCGTTATAATACCAACAATAGGACAAGCAGTACGTCACCAGAATGGGAAGAGAAAAGCAAAAATGAACAGGGTCCGTTATGAGGGACCGGTACGCGGTTCGAATCGTGTCTAAGGAATTCCTTTTTTTGTGTATTTTATGTAATGGGAAAAGTCAGTCTTGGAATACTTTTAATATAGTATCCTGCTCAAAATTGTAGAGTTAAAATTATTCTAATAAAAAAAAGGCTCATTGGCATTTACGGGCCTCGCTTATTAGCCTGACAATCGAATCACGTGTTAACATTATAGGCGGGTGTGGACATCTGAGATTGCTTGCATTGTCTAATCTAGCTCCAATGGGCGTCGCCAGGATTTTTCCAGACAAAGACAAAAATCCCGAAATCCCTGTACTTTTCCTGCATATTCTCGATTTATTATGTCGAGGGTGGGCAGGGACAATTTAACATTTTACCCCTCCCCCAACCCATTAAATTAACAGCAATTTGACTTCGCGCCTCTTTTTTAAATTTTTCTTTTGCTTTTCCATGGCCGGGGGGGGGGGGGGGGAGCGCCCCTTGCCCCCCCCCCCCCCCCCCCTTTACGACGCCCATGCTAGCTCCCACACCTACGTTCTTGAAACCTGATCGTTCTTGAGACTGGAGTGCTGAATGGTAACACATAGCAACCGATGAAAACTTGTGGGCAAATGAATCGATTTTGTTCTCATCGGATGACGAAATCCCGTCCACGCCTTAATTCCTGCACGCTTGTAACGTGGCATTATGACGTACATTACCTCGCTTATTAACGGGGTATGGAGTGGGTAGCCTGATCGGCTGATATTCAACAGAAATAAAGGAAATTGTTCCTCCAATTTTTAAAGGAGTATAAGCCTAAATTCTCTTGACACAGTTAACTTTATTCCTACGTTGAGTATTATTGGTTACGCTACACCGCCATCAACACAGAGCCGTTTAAGCTAAGTCGTTCGGGGAACAAAAGGACGCACCTTGACATCTTACCAGCTTGTTGCTTCGCTTTCAGAATTGCAAGGAATGCTTTAATATCGCACCAATTAATTAAGAAAAGATTACCGTTGTTGCTCAAAGCCTGAACGCCCAAGGTCATGTAAGCCGTATTCGATCAATACACAATAGTGTGTCGCTTAAAGTTAATATTCTTATATACTTAGTGTAAATTTAAATTACAGGTTTTAAACCAAATACGTAAGCTGAACGTTTTATTATCTTATTCTGGTCACTTTTGTAGTCTTGTGTTGAATTTTTGAGCCTTTAAAATCTTTCATGTTTTTCACGTTACAAATTTAATTGATCGATTACATTTATTTTAAGTAGTACAAAAAATTACTAGTCAATTGAAATGATATTATAGGCCATCATTTTCATTTCGCCATGTGTTTGTGTTAATAAATTAACGTAACACTAATCCATGTTGGCCTCTAATTTCCAGCAGGTAGCTCAGAAACCATGTATGATTTCTTTCTTCAAAGCAAAAGCTGCATAAATTGATATGAATAAACTTAGAATATAGAAAAAATAGTTTACACTTGGTTATCTTGCTGTTTTACAGCACAACACAGGATTATGCTGCCGAACGAACTTGGACATTTCACGACACTTGGTGGCATCAGGCTGGTTTCGCATCCTTAATTATGTTTATGGAAAACACTGTGCTTATAATTATGCAGAAACAGAAAGTACAAGAATAGTGCATCGGCGTCTGTGATGATGTGTTATCCCTTATTATCATTGCTGTCCTAGACATTTGCAGTGTTCACCTTTGTGTGGACACTGTTTTCAGTTATTTTCAGCAGAACTGGTGCAAAAAAGCCAGCCCCTCCCTTAGATGTAAAATAGAACAGAATATCTTTATCCTATCAAGACTCCAATTCTAATTTTCCAAGTGATATGGCGATTTTCATAGAAATTTGGCAGTAATGTTGTTTACCGCTTTTAACAACAATAATCACGTCATTTGGCAGTGCTGCAGCGACTAGAAGAGGGCGCTTTACTACATTCTACCGCATTAAAAACAAAATTAAGAGTATTTTGGCATAACTTTTACATTTTTAATTAAAATACTTTTTAATTTTGTTCTAACATCCTTAAGGTTAAAATTCATCAATTGAAATCAATTAACATTTCTCATTTAAATATGGCACTATACCTACTTTGGGGACAAAATCTAAATTTTTCGAGATATTTCAAACACTTCAATTTTCAATCAAAACCGGCACATTAGATGTACTTATGGTACTGTTATAAATACCTGAAACAAAGAACCTATAATTTTTGCAAGAGAAGTATTTAAAATTCAATGTGGTTACTTTTACGCGCCAAAGTGCGACGTATTGCATTCCCAGCATACATTGAAGTTTGCCAAGTTACAGTGAACCTTTCAGAAATCATAGGTTTTGAGCAAAGGAAGCATGTTTTCGACTTGTTATTTATATTATTTTTTTTAAAATGATCGAAATGTAAGATTACCAATGTTTTTTAATCTGTTGCCGTTGACACAATGGACATCCAACAAAAATTGGTTCCATATTGACCGTCGATACAAATTTGAAAGAGTCACCAAATTTCATGCTGATCGACGGAAGCGTTGCGGGGCTATCGGAAGATATTTCCTGGGGTAGCATTGTGCCCCAGTCCCCCCCCCCCCTTGCCCGGTCCTGGTTAAAAATTTCTAGGTTAAAAATGTAAATTTAAACTGAAAAAGACTCCAATGTTTTAAGGGAAACTTGTTTATTGAAGGATGTGGCTGTATCATACCTATACCACGCACGGGTAAATATTGTTGCGATTATTAGGCAGACGTTCATTTCAAATCAATACTTCCTAATTCTTTATCGCCGTCTGGATGTATTCACGGGAGAAAACAGTACAGTATCAGCAGCGAAGGTCTACGTCGCTCATTAAAGGCAGCGCTCTAATCAGATTCCGCTAATCATTTCAGTTTGAGCTGCATAATTATATGACGTCATCAATAATACTTATTCATGGCATGTGTAAGCCAATCAAAACCTGACAAGTAGGATCTCTGCGTAAATTCCTGCACTGCTATCCTTAGGCCCTACTTTAGATACGGCGGGTGAGCCATAATTTCTTTAGTGTCAGCAGAAATCGTGTGTTATTTTGCTGTTCGATCTTCAGATGACTCAGTTGTCAATATTCCTGCTCAGTGTCTCATACAAAGCATCGACTCTCCTTAAATCTTGATGATACATGCTCGATGCACAATGAAACACATTTTTGAACTGTTATTCACTTTGGGTTTCGCCTGCGGCCTTTCTTCGGCTTCAATTTGCCATCCGAACTGGCAACAGTACGATGAATCCTGCTATCTGCTGATAACCCAACCCATGGACTGGTATCAAGCGAATCGCACCTGTGCCGAATCTCGAGCGAAACTTGCTGTTCCTAATTCGCAAGACGAACAAGAATTCCTGTGGGAGTTTTTCCTCAGTGCATTTGATCAGAATCCCACGGGAGATCTGTGGATCGGCTGTAACGACATCGAGGTGGAAGGGACATGGAAGTACTGTCCGTTGAGAGATGGAGCAAACGCCTACCAAAACTGGGATAACCGTGAGCCTAATGACAAAGGGGATGTTCGTTATGCTGATTGTGGTCATATGAAGACAATCACGGATGGAAAATGGGACGACCACCCTTGCTCAAATCGCAAATACGCAGCCTGTGAACGACCAATCCAGAAAGAAACCACCCTGTTCTGCCTTGAGACCAACCCCGCTGGCCGTATCGCCTCACTGTGCCTCGTCGATCACATCGCGAAGGAGCTACCGGTGACTGGCGTGCTGGCGTGCAGTAAGGCCTGCCGATCGGATCCTCGATGTGGTTCCTTCAACCTGCTTGAGATAGGCCCAGAGAAGATGCAGTGTCAACTGAACAACGCGACTCGGCAGGAGGCTGGTGAGCTATATATGAAGGAGATTCAAAACTGCTACTATTTCAATATTTAAGAACCTGTCTCAACCATAACGTCGGGACACAATTATGGACTACCTACCGTAGTTAATAAGCGAGGCTTGTACTCGAAATTCATTATAATACTTACACTAGGGGCGGATCCAGGATTTTTTGCGGGGGGGGTCATCAGCAAATCAAGGCTGAAATGTTGACCTTTTTTGCAGGACATTTGGCGCCGCAAAATCAATGAGGTGGAGGTGCGGGAGGGGGATCGTACCATACTTTGAATGGGGGCGCTGTTCAAATCTGACAATTATTATTACACTAAATTACAGGGTATGTACAAATACCACGGTAACCAGCAGGCTCTGTCCGTATTTTGTGCACAGGCGTTTATTAATACTAGTATAATGTTTTGGGGTGTCACAGCAGGGGTTAAGCATTTTTTTTGTGCATCTCTGTGTAAAACAAAATGACAGAGACGGGGGGCTGACCCTCCCCCCCCCCCCCCCTCCGGGATCCGTGCGTTGACTATTACTTATACATTGATGCGGTGTTAATATAGACCTTTCTGCACTTGGTAAGCAAACTGCATTTTTGCCAACCACGGCCTGCAAAACTATGGAAGGTCCAACACTGCAAAAATTAAAAAGAGTTATTACAGATCACAAAAATTTTATTTGATACTTGAAAATACAACATTTTCAACAAATCTACAAAATAATTCCCACATTATGCATTTTTTACTATGTGTTGATGGCGTTACGAGGACTTTTTTGGAAAAATATGTTGCCAACCTCGGCTTCAATTTATGCGCTTATGCAGCCCATACAAAATGGCGCCAATGTTTACAAACAAAAAAGGCCTATACTGGATAAAACAAAAACCACAGCGCCATCAACACAAAACTGTTCAAGCTAAGTCGTTCGGTGAACAAAAGAACGCACCTTGACATTTTACCAACTTGTTGCTTCGGTTGGAGAATTGCAAGGAACACTTTAGTAGCACACCAGTGATTCCATTCAATCTAAGTTGGAAGCACCCTTGACGTAATTTTAAAATTAATTAAGAAAAGATTACCGTTGTTGCTCAAAGCCTGAACGTCCAAGGTAATGTAAGCCGTATTCGATCAACACACAATATTGTGTTGCTTAAATTTAATATTCTTATATACTTAGTGTAAATTCAAATGACAGATTTTAAACAGAATACATAAGCCCCATGTTTTATTATTTTATTCTGCTCCCCTCTCTAGTTCTGTCTAGAATTGTTGAGCCTTTAATTTGTTTATGCTTTTCAAGTTATAAATGTAATTGATTGATTTTATTATTAAGTACATGTACAAGTATTATAGAAAATACTAGTCAATTGTAATGATATTATAGAACATCGATTTCATTTCGCCTTGTGTTAGTATAAAAAAAAATTAACGTAATACTAATCCATGTTGGCTTCTAATTTCCAGCAGGTAGCTCAGAAAACTATGATGCCTCACTGCAAGACAAAATCTTCATAGTCATCAATATGAATAAACTAAAAAAATAGGGAAAAAATAGTTTACACTTGGTTATGTTGCTGTTTCACAGCACAATACAGGATTATGCTGCCGAACGAGGTTGGACATTTTACGACACTTGGTGGCAGCAGGCTGGTTTCTCATCCGTAATTATGTTTATGGAATAACACTGCGCTCATATGCAGAAACAGAAAGTACAAGAATAGTGGATCGGCGTCTGTGATGTTGTGTTATCCCTTGTTATCATTGCTGTCCTAGACAGTCACATTTGTGTGAACACACATCGATTTGGCGATTTTCATAGAAATTTGGCAGTAATGTTGTTTACCGCTAAACAACAATAATCACGTCATTTGGTAGTGCTGCGGCGACCAGAAGAGGGCGCTTTACTACATTCTGCCCCATGCTTTTAAAAATTAAGAGTATTTTGGCATAACTTCTACATTTTTAATTGAAATACTTTTAAATTTTGTTCAAACATCCTTAAGGTTAAAATTAGCATCAATTGAAATCAATTAACATTTCTCATATAAATATGGCACTATACCTACTTTGGGGACAAAATGTTAATTTTTCGAGATATTTCAAACACTTCAATTTTCAATCAAAACCGGCACATTTAATGTACTTATGGTACTGTTATAAATACCTGAAACAAAGAACCTATAATTTTGGCAAGAGAAATATTTGAAATTCAAAGTGGTTACTTTTACGCGCCAACGTGCGACGTATTGCATTCCCAGCATATACATTGTAGTTTGCCAAGTTACAGTGAACCTTTCAGTAATCATAGGTTTTGGGCAAAGGAAGCATGTTTTTGACTTGTTGTTTATATTTAAAAAAAAAAAAAAAAGATCGAAATGTAAGATTACCCATATTTTAAAATCTGTTGCCGTGCACTCAACGGACATCCACAAACATTGCGTCGGTTGCACCACGAACCGACGTATCGCATGTTTTTTATGTTTCGAGAAAAACCGATTTAAAGTTGGTCATTATTTTGTAGGCTCATTCCATATACTCCCTGTGTAAGAATTCAAGCTGTTTCGTTTTTGCTATTAAATTATAGATTGAACTGTATTGTATGCAATCCGTGTGCATCTGAGTAGCTTAGATTTTGAGAAATTCAGTTCCAAAGTTATTCGTCACTTCGTGAAACTGATTTGTATCATGTTTATCGTATGTCATACAACCTGCGTAATAGTGGCCGTGTGCCAGATACGTCGGTTCGAGAAACGCTAAATTCCAATTTTTCATGTCGACGCTCCTTTGTGACGTCATAGCACTATGGGAATTAGCGTGTAAAGTGGCGTATCGGGATACGCCACTTCGTGGTGCAGCATTTTTCATTTTTTAGAGATACGCCGCACAGTGTAGTTAGCGTTCTTAGTTAATTAGATCTCCAATCGGAATAAAACTTTCTGAGAATGAGCACTTTAATGAAATAATAACGTTAATAACAAAAAACTCAATTTGGCAAAAAATCGAGATACGCCAGTTTGTGGTGCGACCGACGATTAGTTCCATATTGACCGTCGATACAAATTTGAAAGAGTCACCAAATGTCATGCTGATCCACCGAAGCGTTGCGGGGCTATCGCAAGGAATTTAATGGGGAAAACATTGTGCCACATGCCCCCACCCCCCCCCCCCCCCCCTCTTTTCCCCCGGTCCTGGTAGGGTTAAAGTGGCTTCCTATATTAAAAATGTAAATTCAAATTGAAAAGCCTCCAATGTTATAAGTGAAACTGATCCACGATGATTGATACCAAGATCCTTTATTTAAGGATGTGGCCGTATACGCTTATACCACGCAAGGATTAATATAGTCGCGCGTATATTAAAGGCAGCCGTTCATTTCAAATCAATATTACCTAATTCTTTATCGTCGACAGAACGTATTCACGGGAGAAAACAGGACAATATCAACCTCAAAAGTCTACGTCGCTCATAAAAGGCAGCACTCTAATCAGATTCCGCCGATCATTACAGTTTGAGCTGCATAGTTATATGACGTCATCAATCCATAAATTCGTGGCGTGTAGCAGCCAATCAAGACATGACAAGTAGAATATGTGCGTAAATTCTTGCACTGCTACTGCTTCAGATACGGCGGGTGAGCTAAATGTCTTCAGTGTCAGAATAAATCGTCTGTTCTCCTGCCTTTGGTTCGTCAGATTACTCAGTTAATTGTCAGTAGCCCTGCTCAGTGTCTCATGAAGCATTGACAATTTACTTTCACTGAATCTTGATACAGGCTCAAAAATGAATCATATGTTTGCAGTGTTATTCGCATTGGGAACCGTTTGTGGCCTTTATTCGGCTTCAATTTGCCCTCCGAACTGGCAACAGTACGATGAATCCTGCTATCTGCTGATAACCCAACCCATGGACTGGCACCAAGCGAATCGCACCTGTGTCCAATCCCGAGCGAAACTTGCTGTTCCTAATTCGCAAGACGAGCAAAAATTCCTGTGGGACTTTTTCCTCATAGACCATAATCCAGAGGATAATCTCTGGATCGGCTGTAATGACATCGAGGTGGTAGGAACATGGAAGTACTGCCCATTGAGAAACGAGCCAAACGCCTACCAAAACTGGCATGACGCTGAGCCTAATGACAATGGTGGTCAAGATTGTGTTTACATGTCATACGGGAATGGAAAATGGGACGACGACGGTTGCTCAAAGCTCAAATACGCAGCCTGTGAACGACCAATCCAGAAAGAAACCACCCTGTTCTGCCTTGAGACCAACCCCGCTGGCCGTATCGCCTCAGCGTGCCTCGTCGATCACATTGTGAAGCAGCTACCGGTGACTGGCGTGCTGGCGTGCGGTAAGGCCTGCCGATCGGATCCCCGATGCGGCTCCTTCAACCTGCTTGAGATAGACCCAGGGAAGATGCAGTGTCAACTGAACAACGCGACTCGGCAGGAAGCTGGTGAGCTGTTTATGAAGGAGATTCAAAACTGCTACTTTTTCAATCTTTAAGAACCTGTCTTCGAAACCAATGTTTTTGTGCTAACAGTCGCGTACGCATGGACCAGTAAAGCACCTTTAAAGGAAATGTTCTTCATTCGTGATGAATGCCCAATAGCAGAGTTATCCCGATGTTTGGACACAACAACGTTTATTAATACATTTCTAAGAAAAATTGAGTCGCCAGGAAGGGGAAAGCCCCGACTTCGAATACAATGCCATGAACACATATTGTAAAGTTCTCACAATTAATGTCATCAGAATATTTTCCCATATAACATTGCACTGTATAAGGTAAAAACGTTTGAAGATATGTCATACACGTTTAAGAATCATTAATTGGATGCAGCAACTTTAATGTTTAAATTTTTAATGTCAACAAAACGTTGATACTTGTTTTTCTCTATATATTTTCTCTTTCTCTATTATTTCAAAAAAGATTCGAAAATTTTAAATGTCCCTGAAAAGCAAACACTTTCTATACATCACACGATTGTTTTAAGTATGCTTATACATGCCTTCAGTTCACGTGATTTTCTACTATAAACCAGCGTGTTTTGAACATCATAGAAACATTACACGAAGACTGCAAAATGTTGTAAATATTTTGTTGAAGTGATTAACAGAAACAGAACCGCTTTAAGCGTCTTGGTTAACTTCCAAGTCGTTCGGCAAACAAAAGGACGCACCTTGGCATTTTACCAGCTCGTTCGCTGTTGTTAGAGCACCTTAATACCGCACCAATGATTCCATGCAATCTGTGTTGGAGGCATCCTAGACGCAATTTGAAAATTAATATAAAAATTACAGTTGCTTGACTGGGTGTGTTTGTAGAAGCTTATGTAGGTCAAAATGCAATAACTAGTTGGTGTTGTTGTTTACGGCTAATATTTTAAGTGTAAATTCATATTTCAGACTTCGAAATCTAACATTTTGCCGAATTTGTGTTTCGTTCATTTTAATCCCTTTTGTATTTATGTCTTGAAAGTTTCAGCCTTTGAAACTGTATCACTTTTCCCTTTTTAAATATAGATTAAACAATTATGTATCAGGTACCTGTATCAACAGAATTTGGCCTATTGGTGAAACTTGTATTGAAAGTTTACTTTGTACTTAAATAAATTAAGCCGAAGATAGCTTAGAAGCAATTCCATGCCTTTCTCTAAAACAAATTCTGCATAAATGTCATGCATAATCATAATCATGATATACTAATACTTTTTTTTAATTATAGGGTTTCCCTGCTATTTTAAACTTGTTTGCGTTCAAATTCACCAGCTCTAATATTCAATTTCGTCCGGGAAGAATTTCACTCGCTTTTATCAAAACCAGTTTGATCTTTCAATTCCAAAGTTTGGTCAACCTGTTTAAGTACCTGGTCAAGAACATTCGTCAATACGGATTGAATATGTCTCAGATATTTCCGAATGACAGCATTCACGGCATTCAGAGATCGAATTGGTCTGATATAAATCATTTTAAAACTCGTATTTAGCATATTCCATGTAGCCTGGCGTGCGCTAAAGCATTTACCTTGCGTCCTCAAACACAATGCAATTGCGGCACATTCTCTCGCATGATTTTATAAGACCAGTTATCCAAATTTGCAAAGATTGCCAAGAATAATAAATCAAAATAAAAATTAATTAACAAACGAAAAGAATAAGCGGGAAATGTAAAAAAAACCGGACATGTCAAAAAACAAGAATCAATCATCATGCCTTTATGATATCACAATGGAAAATGACGCAATTTAACAAAATTATAATTGAACAAATTTGATATCTGATTAAATCGTTTCGGCGTAGACGAGGCGAAATCGAATACCCAGGGTTGAATATGTGCGCTCTTTGTTTTCATTGGTTTGAACTAAATTTAAATTTGTCTGACAAAAGACGAAATCAAACATTGGAAGTGCAGTAAATCCATGTTTGCTGGATTTGAATATTAGGATCGGTGGATTCGAATGACAAACGTTTGAAAATAGTCGGGGAAACCTATAAATAGACAACATGATGAAGTAATAACAAAGACAAATAGTTCACACTTGATTTTCTTGTTTATTTATATACCGAATAAGAGAGGATGACGCTGCTGAATGAAGTTGGACATTTTACGACACTTGGTGGCAGCAGACTGGTTTTCATCAAGCCTCTGTATTATGATACAGACCGTTTATCTTCAAACACAAGAACCGTCAATCACCGTCTAAACGCTGTTTAGACACTTTCAGTGTTTACCTTCGTCTAAACACCAGGCTCACTTTTCTTCAGAAAAGGCGTCAATAGCATTGTCAAAAAGCCCGCGAAAAAGTCCCCCGCTTAGACGTAAAAAGGGATAGTGTAGCTAACAGTCGCATCATAGAGAGCGCCTGTAAAAGGAAAGCACTGAATTAAATTAAGTATCTCAGATTGATTTTAAAAATCAAGGTAGCTTAATTGAAAAGTTCCATGAAAAGGAAACGTGATCCTGGTGTCAAATTTTATGTCATAATTTTACGTTCACACAAAAGTTACCAGTAGATTACTTTTTGGTCTCGTCTGATGGACTTTGTTCAGGAAAGAGACTATGCAATCACTATGTCTGTACGTATGTAGGCCTAGTATGTATGCAGTATAATATATGTGGTATTTTGGCTATTAAAAGTTTGGTAAAATGTGTCCCATTTCAAAAGTGGCAGTCCAATTGGAACTCAAACTTGAATCTTAGATGCAACATAGCAGCCTTCACATGATAATGATGTCAAAGGTTACTCTTTAAAGATAATCGCGAAAGCAGGCGAGAGACGCGCGATTCGAGAACCGATCGACTTGTGTTAAAGTAATAGTTGTTTTTATTTACTGCTTATCGGATGAGATTTTTTTAGACTTTCTGCTTACCTGCCCAAATCGGCCCAATTAATTAAGTGTGCTACACCTCCAATACCTGAAGACAATCCCACCGCTGACCCCAAGTTATCCATGCCCACATATTCCCGCATCAACACGGATGCGATGGTACGCTGGCAGCCAATAGCGAATCCAATCACGGCCGAAGAGACTACGAAATGCCCGCATGTGCCGAACTGCACCCCCAGTACGGCGCAGCCGCAGACTAGCATAGAGACGCGTTGTAAATGATCACCGAGGGCACCTTCTGGTTGACGAGTCCACAGAGAGGGCGCCCTACTAAGCCACCTATTCCAACCTTCGCTCATACCCCCGCCCTGCAAACAGGACGCTGGGATACTCTGATGAGCTTCACAGAATCTTGTGAAGGAAGTGGCCTATGACCTATGTATAAAGCATCTGGCTGCAGCTGTTCAAAACCGCAGTTAGACAATATGCGCAAATACTATCCGAAAACTTCTTATAGAAATGCGCACATTCAATACCGGATGTGATTTCTGTTTCATTGCGGACCATGTGGAAAACATTTTTGAGCGTCGCATAATGCAATCCGACCGTTCGTGATTCGAAACGGAGCCTGAGCAAGTGACGGGAATTGTAAATTTACAACAAAGTTAAGTTTTACAGAATTTCCTACATTATTACGCTTTTCAACGAGAAAAATACATCTCTAAACTGGAATAAAAGAGTAATGAATCAGTCTTAACAGCCGTTTCAAACCTTGCGGAGTCATGACCTTGATGACGCGCAGGTCACTGGTCACGCAAAATCCAACCAATCAGAGCGTGAATTCATCGGAGTATCCCAGCGTCCTGTTTGCAGGGCGGGGGGTACGAGCGAAATTCCAACCACGCTGAGGAGAAAGGCCGCCATCTGTTGAGACACACCGGAAGTTGTCGCACAGGGAACGAGATATATCATGAAACACCCAAGAGAGAAAATGATGGGTACTCTGAGCGAAGCAAAACACCGAAAATCAGTAGCTTTCCCAAAGCAAGTTCAATCGAAACACTTTCGCTACCCCAGTCAAACAACCAGTCACACGAAGTGAACTCTGTTCATCGGTTGTTTCGGACCTTACCGCACCATTCGTAGAGTTTTGTTCGGCAGGAGCCGTCATTTGCTTATCCATCCCGTGATTGACAGACTCACTTGGTCTGCAGTCATCTCGCCTTTCGCGTGCCTAAGTCACCAGGCTATGGCTGGTACACTGCCCCGGCCACGCAATTATTAGCAGTAATCGCGCCGGTTACCAACAGCGTTCCCCTCCAACCTTACTTGTCCAGTAACAGCTGCATCAGCGGACCAAAGATCATGATTCCTACACTGTATCCCATGGTCATGAAGGCAGCCGCTATGGAGTAATACTCCGTGAAGTATTGAGCGACGATCACCACCGCTGGTGTTTATAGGCTACCCAAGCACCAAGTCCTAAAACAATGCATTGAAACATTCTTGTCATTCGCTTCAAAATCAATATTTTCTTTCAAAGGAAGTAGATCATCAGAGGGAAATCTTTTTCATTACGTGGCACGTCGTGCGCGTCGTGGTATAAGTATAAGGTGCAAAGATCAAGAATACTTTTGACTTCTTGATCAGGGACAGAGCCAGGTTACTTTTCACCCCTTTCACCGCTGTGACCAGGGTTAAAGAGTTAACCCTATGAGGAGCGGGTTATTTTTGGTCTTTTCTCAATACCGGGGCACTTCGGTCCCCCATCATAATTCCATATGCTTCGGAAGATTTCCCTCAATTTTAGCAGTGTATGTGTTGCCTGATTTACGGCGGCGACCATGATGATAATACTTCAATATACATGTTTGCCTATTTTGGCGTCTAAAACAAAATCCTCATTGGCATGATTTCTATATTTTTCATTCACATACTTTCATTTTGTAATCAGCATGTCTGGATTTATCCAATCGAACGACCTTCAGGGCGTCCTAATATTAATGCTGGAGGGCGGTATACTTACTTTCGAGAACATTTTTCGTGATTTGGTCCAAACGTTTTTTCCCCAACCAACATCGGCACAAATGAAGTTCTTTTGCATTTTGTCAGGCAAGACCTATCAAACAAATTGCCCCAGAACAAAAAAAATTGTTCTGTACAAGGAAAAACCTTGAAAAGCAGCTTCTCTTGTCAATGCTGGCTGTTTTAAACTTGCAGCATGCATTGTAGTTGCATTGTAGTAACAATCAACGTAAGTCTCAAATGAAGACAAGACAGTATTTTACTGTTTTAATTAATTTTACTGCACGTACCACAATCTCAAAAAGCCGAGTCCGTTACACATCGAACCGGGACGTCAAAAGCCAGAATCTCAAAACGAGAACAAGGATTCTTCGTATTCAAATTGTTCCATCAATATATAGTCTTTTCATCTGCGATAAATGCAAATCGAGCTATTATTATTTAACTCCTCTTAAAATATTCACAAGGAAATGAGTTATAATTGCCTGCGCGTCTCCTTGTTAAGTGTTAATGGCTTTCAAGAGTGCATCAACTTTAATTTTGTCTCATATCAGGCGCCGTGCTGCAGTCTACGGACTCAACAACGAATGAATAATATAGATAGATTTTTTTTTCGTGCGCAAGAAAAAGCATTGGCCGATTACTAAAATATTAAGGCAAATTCGCTTGGTACCTAGCCGGCGTGACGATAGGCTGACATGGTATAATGCACCGAGACACCTGCGCACTGAGTCATGAAGTTATCTGAAAGTACATGTACATCGTACCCTATGTAATCGTTGCCATAATGGCGAGGAAGCACTTTTACATCGTCAAGGTGTGCATGTGCATGGTCTTTCACATTGCAAAGTATAAACATGATTGTTGAATTTGGTCTGGAGTTATAAAATTACGGATTTCAAATTTGTCCATTTTGGATCTAAATTAGCTTGTAATTTTATACCTGATGCCGTGTGAATAACGTCACCGTAATTAAATAAACACCTTGACAGGGACAAGGTTAATGTTTCAAGTTGATGTGTATCGTTTGGATAAAAAGAAAATGCGCGGGAG